ATTGTTGGGCAGTGTACCCATTTTTTCCGTGCCAATTTCGCGCGTCCAGAATATCCCCCTTCCCCCTCCTTCCCCTCCTCGTCCTCCTGCTCGGCCCCGTCATCCTCCCCCTTCCCCTCCTCGTCCTCCCCCCCTTCCCCTCCATATCCTTCCTTTCCTCCCCCTTCCCCTTCCCCTCCTTCCTCGGCGCCTGGGGTCGCCACCCAGGGCCGCAGCGGCGGCGCCGGCCCCCGCGGCGCCGCGCGCGGGGCGCGCGGCGCGCGAGAGCCACTGCGCGGCTGCGCGGCGGCGAACATGAACGCCCGAAATCGGCACGGAAAAATGGGCACAATGCCCGACAACAATTTGTTGTCCCAAACCAGCAGCGACCGCTGTTGGGCAGGGGGCCCTGTCTCAAATGGACACAGGCCGCGGCGGCGCGGACAGCGAGTCGAGTTCTGTTTGAAATGAACAGGGACTGCTGTTGAGCATTGTACCCGTTATTTCCGTACCCATTCCGTTCTCGCCGTGCATGCGCACGACAACCTTGGCGACGAGGATAGACTGGCCTGAGGGTGGACTGGCCCAGTCCACCCTCAGGCCCTCGGGCCCGCCGTAGCCAGGAGACGAGGCGGATCCAGCCGACGGTCCGAGGTGGCCGAGGTGCCTGGCCCCCTTCGGACGGGGAAGGAGGCGGAGGGGAGACAGAAGGGATGGGACAAGGAAGGGGAGGACGAAAAGAGAGAGAAAACAGGGGACAGGGAAGGGGAGGACGACGACGACCAGGACGGCGACAACATTTCAATCATCGGCGAGGGAGGGGTCCAGAATGAGGAGAGTAAGGGTGAAAAAGAAGGAAACGGAAAGGGGGGGGAGGTGGAGGTCCTCCTCGTCGCTGGCGCAACAACAAGCGGTCTGTCGGCGAAATTAGTGAAGAACGCGGGTTTTAACACCTCCCGGGCACATCCATGAACTAGGGGGCCACGTGCGAACCCCACCCCTACCCCCCACGACTTCTGAGGGGGAGGGTGGGGTTCACCTCGTCCGGGGGCTCCCGAGCGAAGTGAACCCCACCCTCCCCCTCAGAAGTCGTGAAGGTAGGGGTGGGGTTCGCATGTGGCCCCCTGGGACGCCCCCACCGTATGCATCGACGCCAGCGGCGCCTCGATGGGACCGAACTACCGGGGAGCACGGGGGCCTCCGCCGGCGGAACCGCCCTCGTTCTACCTCCGCTGGCCTTCCGCCGCCGAAGAGATGCCAGACCCTTCTGTGCTCGAGCACCGGCGGCGAGCGACGGGGGGAAGTGAGAACGAAGAGGCCCTCCCAGAAGGCGGCGGGGCTTCTCAGAGGGCCTCCGTCTGAGAGGTTTTCAACGTCTTCGGGAAAGGCTTCGAGGCGGCCAAGGGGGCGTCCTTTCTCAGGGGGCGGCGCACTCGGAAAAGGGGCTTCTGCGGGGTTGCGGGACTCGGCTCGTCTAGCTCGCTCGCTCGCTCCTCGTGCGTTTTGCTGGATTCGGCTCGCGCGCATGCGCCCTCTTCCAAGGGTCGTGGTGTAGCGCTTCAGTTGCTAATTTCAGGCCGTCATTTGCCCGAATGGATGGCTGGTCTTGGTCATCCGTCACGAGTCTGCGCGCTGCAGTGCGATGGTGGCGCCAGCAGCGCAATTTGACAGCCCAGTTCGACAGTGCATGGACGGACCTGTCGGCCTAATTCTGGAGAGTTCCGCAGAAACGGGCCAACCATTCACGGTCGCACGCGAAGCGCCCGACATCTATGGAAAAGTTGCGGTGTTACCAGACCGCCCGCCTCAAAACAGGCAGCCAGGTCACTGTCTGGGACTTCACTATAGCAGCAATATCCTTTTTCGGTGTTCGGAGGTGTTCCGAGACTCTCGCGCTCCTGCGTCGAGACATCCCTGTGCACGAGGAATTCGCGTCAATATTCGTGGCCCTCTAAAAAGCAAGCCCGTTCGGGCAGGGCATGGCGTGCCACATCCCAAGGATGGTACACACCCCAGACCTATGCCCTTGCCAGCTCTTGCGGGAAACGACTCGCGCTGGGGTTCCGACCCAGAAGCGCCGTGTTTTGCACGACTCATTTGGCGGAGCCTCGCCCCATAAATTGCGATTCTTCCGTTGATTTTTCAGACTGCTGCGCTGGGAACACTCTCGCTGCGCAAAGGCGGTGCCCACTGGTACAGGACAGTGTGCTGTTGGCCGGGAGAGCTGGTGCAGGCTCAGGGCTGCTGGTCAGTCCCAGGAGCCACGCGAGCACTTTGCGCCCGTCGTTGCTCAGAACGGTGCGATCAACTGCTGTGCGCTGTGTCTACACTCTGCAGCCTCGAATGGCGTGGCGGTCCCGGCCATCACTCAACGCCAGACGCGCGTTTCACCAATGCCTCTGTGGAGGCGCCTCGCTGGGAGCTTCTAAAACTTTCCTTTTCGCGGTTGCGCCTGGCCCGTGCTCCCGGCGACCGTTTCCTGGGTCACCGCGGACCTGGCCAGGCCGGCCTGCAGCTCCAACCCCACCAGAGGCATGAACTACCAGACGCTGGAGATGCCGCCTTGGACCTTGTGGCGAAACACTTCCTTCCCGACTCCATCCCCCAGTCACGGCGCAGCGAGCAAGCACCCGGCGTCCTTGCTTCGGGGGACTCGGCTCGTCTACGTCGCTCGCTCCTCGTGCGTTTTGCTGGATTCGGCTCGCGCGCAGTCGCCCTGTTCCAAAGGTCGGGGTCCAGGGCCCCCGCCCCGCTCTCCTTTTCTTTCCCCATCTCCTGAAAAATGGGGTTCTTGTCATTACTTTCACCGCGCCGGAAGGACAGCTACACCCCCACCTCACTCATCGCTCAGATTCATTATGTTACGCTATGCTACGGGATGCAGCTGCTGATGGTGCTGAGGATGATGGCAATGATGATGATGGTGATGATGATGATGCTGATGATGCTGATGATGATGACGATGGTGATGGTGGTGATGATAATGACGACGACGATGATGACGTTGATGATGATGCTGCTGATGATGATGATGATGCTGATGATGATGATGATGATGATGATGATGATGATGATGATGATGCTGATGGCGGAGCAGATTCTGAGGATGTCTCGAGCGAGGCGCGGGTTTCAGCACCCCCAAGGTGGAGCCGCCAGGGAAATCTCACTCCTCCGTTCGCGCCAGAATGGCGGGGACGTCTCGAGCGGTCTGCCCGTTTGTGCCCCCGATATCCTCCGATCTCGGAGCAGATGTGGAGGATGCCTCGAGCGAGGCGCCCCCAAGGTGGAGCCGCAAGGGGGTATCCCACTCCTCCGTTCGCGCCAACATGGTTGGGATGTCTCGAGCGGCTTGCCTGTTTGTGCCCCCAGTATCCTCCGAGATTTCGGAGCAGATGTTGGGGATGTCTCGAGCGAGGCGCTGGTTATCGCACCCCTCGTGGCCCAGATTGTGAGGATATCTCTGACGGTTTGCTTGTTTTGCTGGCCAGAGTCGTGGGCGTGGATCCTCAGGATGCCTCAGGAGGCTCCGGCAGGCTCCAGGAGGCCCCAGGAGGCCACATGAGGTCCCAGGAGGCCATAGGAGGCCACAGGAGGCCCCAGGAGGCCACAGGAGGCTCAAGGAGGCCCCAAGAGGCTCTAGAAGGCCCCAGGAAGCACCAGGAGGCCCGAGGAGGCCACAGGAGGCCACAAGAAACGCCAGGAGGCACCAGGAGGCCCCGGAAGACTCCAGGAGCCCCCACGAGGCGGAGGCCTCAGAAGGCCACAGGAGTGGCTCAAATCTCCAGCGTTGTACACATGTTTCTATATGCTGGGCCTCCCCTAGAGTGCGAATCCTTTGTGTTGATGTTTGTTTCTATAAAGTGTCCTTCTCCCGTGTATCCACTCCTCAGTGTTTTACATAGCTTCCTACAGATTGGGCCTCCCCTGGGGCACGAGTTCTTGGTGTTTTACGCGTGTTCCTATAGATTGCCCCTCTCTTGTAGCTTCAACCCGAAGTGTTTTACGTCTGTTCCTATAGATTGGGCCTCTCCTGGGACACGAATCCTCCCCAGGAGGCCCCGTAAGGATCCAGGAGGCTCCTGGAGGCCCCAAGAGGCCACAGGAGGCCCCAGGAGGCCCCAGGAGACCCCATGAAGCCCCAGGAGGTTTCAAGAGGCCCCTGGAGGCCCCAGGCTCATGCGCAGAGACGCACTGAGACTACTGAGACACATTCTCATTCCAACTCATTCACCATTAGATTCGCTCCCAGACCGTCGATACTCAAGTCCGCTTCTATTCGAAAGCTCTTGCGCCTAGACACTCACGGCGGACAGGTCCATGCTAATAGATGCACATATGGGGGGCTCCAGGCAGTGAGTAATTCGTGCCTACTGCAATCTGCATCCGTTCGGGGGGGGTGCACTTGGCTAATGCTCCTGGTGACCGCTCCTGGATCACCGCGGACCTGGCTAGGCCAGCCTGCAGCTCCATGAGGCGTCCCACACGAGGCACATGTTCGCAGACACTAGAGATGCCGCCTTGGACCTTGAGGCGAAACAATTCCTTCCCGACTCCATCCCCCCAGTCAGAATGGAACGAGCAAGCAGAACTCCCGAGCCTTCTGAGACGGCCCGCCCCTTCTCACTTCCCCCGGGCTCGCCGCCGAGAAAACGAGGCCCTTCCTGGAACGCCCCAACCGTGTGCAGCGACGCCAACGGCGTCTCCAGGGGCGTGGATGCAGGGAACACGAGGGCTTGAGCGAGCTCCAGCCGAGTCTGGCGGGCTCCCCCAAGGACGGCGGCCGCGGCACCTAGGCTTCGGATCCAGCGCCCCACCTCGTGGAAGCATCTGCCGATGCCCACGCGGGCACCCGCCAGGCCGACCGCAGATTTTTGATGAAGAACCCTGCGCTACAAGCTTCGGGGCATGTTCAAAGGAGGCGCGTGTCGCCCCTTCACGGCTGCGGCCACAGAGTGCCAAGTGTGAAGCGATTCCTGACACGGTCATGCAAATTCAAGCGATGACAAAAAGCGGACACAGAGGACAAAAACGGACCTCCTGGAAGAGCTTGCCGATGTCCGCGCGGGCGTCCGCCAGGCCGGCCGCAAGCTGCGCGAGCTGCGCCTCGGTGCCACGCTGGCGCTCGAGGAGCGTGTCGAGCTCGCCCCCGCGCGCGCACGGGATGCCCTCGAGCGGGCGGGGCGACTGTTCTACCATCTTGAGCCTCCTCTTGAGCCAGGGAGTGCCGCCCGTAGGCGATCGACGTTTTATCTTTATCCTCATCTATGCTCCTCCGTGCCCCAGTCCCACCATGGGGCCGGAGTGGGCGGCACGGACAAGCATCCTGCCCCACGTGCTGAGCTTCGCGAAGGAACGATGCACAATGCAGAACGCATCGGCAACCGCGGGAGGGGGTGAACGGAAACGGGGGGCCGCCCCCCCCTTCCCCTCCCCTCGGGGATGGACAGACCTCCCTTTAGTAAAACGTGGTTTAGTGAAGACGACCTGAGGCCCAAACCTGGCGGGCGCAAGCCTGGAAAATGACGGCCACGGCGCCCTCTCGAAAACCGCAAACGGACAATTCACTGATCGGCGTGTCACCGTTGGAGGTTCTGCCCACCCCCCCTCCCCCCGGCACACGACAGGGGGAGGGGATCGACACGGCCGACCCCCCGGCACTCGAGTCCCTCTCCCCTTCCTGCACGCGGGCAACCCCCCCCCCAGCACTCGACCCGCTCTCCTTCCGGCGAACTCAAAGGCCCCCCTCTGCACTCGAACCCCTCTCCCTCCCGCGCGCTGACACCCCCCCCCTCCGGCACTCACTCGAGTCGCTCTCGATCCGGCCCCCTCCCCCTTCGCTCGAACCCCTCTCCTTCCCGCGCGCTGCAAGTGAGGGCCGTCCCCAAGCACTCTCCGAGTCCCCCTCCTGCCGCCGAGCTGAATCCCCCCCCCGGCGCACGAGGCTCTTTCCTTCCGCCGGGCTGGAAGGGAGAGCCCCCCAACCTCCCGCTTCCGCCCGCCAAGAATCAAAAACGCCTCCTCGACTTCTACCGTCATCTACTCAGTACGTGGCAAAGTCCTCGAGGCGAAACAATACGATTCCATGATACCCGCCACGTGGCAACGCAGCGGGCGGAAAACATACTATTCCGCTTTATTCGTCACGCGGCGACGCCTTGCCGGGCGAGGCTAATAGTATTTCACTGCGCTCGCCAAACGGCAACGCAGGGCGTCAGAAACGCCTCCTCGACTTCTTATCGTCCTCAACTGGGCACGTGGCAACGCCCGAGAGGCGAATCAAAACGAGTCTATTCTACTCGCCAGGTGGCAACGCAACGGGGCGGAAAACATACAAGTCTAATATACTCGCCAAATGGCAATGCAATGGGCCAGAAATAATACCGCTCTACTCTACTCGGCACGCGGCAATGCCTGGGGGGGGGCGAAACAAATACAATACTGTAGTTCCATTGCGCTCGCCACGTGGCAGCGCAGCATGGCGCAAACACCGGCTACTCGACTTTACTCGTCATGTGGCGACGCTTGACGCCTGGGGAGCGAAAGGAGAATCATGCCACGATACTTGGCACGTGGCAGCGCCCGAGAGGCGAAACAAGACGATTAGATTCTGGCCGCTACGTGAGCACTCGCCAACTGGAATCGCAACGTGTTGGAACAAATCCGCCACCGTGCCGTTGAGCACGGATTGGGCGTGTCCTCAGGTCCTTCGCCTAATCCTCTAAGCCTCAGTCCTCGCTGCTGAGGATTCTTTACGGAGCCTGGAGCCCAAATGTATTGTATCCCGGGGATTGGCGGGCCAAGCGGGCTCCAAGAGGCCCCCAAGATGACCCGAGAGAACCCCGAGTCGCCGAAAGATCGCTCCAAGACGCTCAAGCTGGCCTCAAGATGGCCAAAGAGGCCTCCAAGACGCCACCAAGAGGCTTCCCAAAAGGCCTCCAAGAGGCCTCCCAAGAAGGCACCAACAGGCAAACATCAGTGATTTACCAAACCAGTTTTTGAAGGTTTTCGGCCTTCGCGCTTGTGAGATTTCCCAACGCTCCAAGATTGCTCAAGAGGCCCCAAACATCGCCCCAACACGGACCAATCGGCCTCCAAGAGAGCCCCAAGACGACCTAAGATCGACCCAAGACGGCCCAAGAGGCGCCCGAGACGGCCCCAAAATATGGCCCACGAGAGGGAACACGAACCGAAAATCCGAGCCTCCCCGAGAGGCCCCCAAGAAGCCCCAAGAGGCCCCAAGAGGCCCAAAAACGGCCCCCAAGAGGTTTCAAAACTGCCTCTAACAGGCTCCCGAGAGGCCTCCCACGAAATCCCGACGAACATCCAATAGACTTCACACCCACACCCCGAGCACGGTGGCGGGATGAGCCGAAAGCCATTAGATCCGCCGCCCCCTGCTTGCAGGGGTGCACGGCGTGCTGGATGAGCTGTCAGGTTTTGGTTTTGGTTCTTTTTCTAAAAGAACTCCCCAGTGGGCTTCGGCCCGTCCCGCCGGCCACCCTTCCAGGACCTCAATTCCCTAATTTCCTGCCCCAAAACGGCCGTTTCGCTCGGGACATTCTAAAACAATCGCGAAGATGGCCCAAGATGGCCTCCAAGTCCGCCCGAGATGGTCCAAGACGGCCTCCAAAACGGCCCAAGAGAGTCCAAGACGGCCCAAGACGGCCCAAGAGGCCCCCCAGAGGCCTCCCAGACGGCCCAAGAGGCCTCCAAGAGGTCCTCCAGGAGAGTCCGAAGAGGCCAAAATCATTGATTTTCCTTGGTTTTTGAAGGATTTTGGCATTTGCGCCTTTTCGGCTCTCCGACGGCTCAAGACGGCCCAAGAAGCCCCCAAGATCGCCCAAGAGGCCCCCAAGAGAGCCCCATGATGGCCCAAGTGGCCTCCAAGATGGCCCCTAGAGGGCCCCAAGAGGGCCCAAGAGGCCTCCAACACGCCCAAGATGGCCTCCCAGACGCCCAAGATGGCCTCCAAGACGGCCCTGGAGCATTCCAAGCGGGCCCCAAGTCGGCCCATAGAGGCCCCCCAAACGGCTTCCGACGGCTTCAGACGTGCCAGGAACCCACCAAGATGGCCGAAGTTGGCTCGAAGCTGGCCCGAGACGGCCCAAAAAGCCCCAAAGATCGCCCAAAGCTTGCCCAAGAGGCCTCCAAGACGGCCAAGATGACCTTCAAGATGCCCACGTGTTCCCCGAAGGCTTTCCAAACCGATTCGGGGAACACGTGGTCCGATAGCTTGGCAGGTCTGGCCTCAACGTTCGGCCACATAGGCGCTTCCAAAAAAGGCAGGGGGCGGCGGTGATTCGCCGTAGGCGTCTTCGATCCGCCGCCCCCTGTGGTCTTGCCACAGGGGTGCACGGCGTGCTGGATGTTTCAGGTTTTGGTTTTGGTTCTTTTTCTAAAAGAACTCCCCAGTGGGCTTCGGCCCGTCCCGCCGGCCACCCGCAAGTTTCCGAAAATCCATCTGTCAATGCCTTTGTTGCCCCAACTTGGCCCAAGATGGCCTCCAAGACGGCCAAGATGGCCCAAGATGGCCTCCAAGATGCTTCCAAGACGGCCAAGATGGCCTCCAAGACGGGTAAGATGGCTCCAAGATGCACCCAAGACGGCCCAAGATGGCCTCAAGATGGTCTAAGACGGCCCAAAAGGCCCGCAAAAGGCCTCCAAGACGGCCCAAGAGCCCTCCAAGACGCCCTCCAGGAAGGCCCGAATAGGTTAAATCATTGATTTTCCTTAGGTTTTTGAAGGATTTTGGCATGTTCTTCTTTTCAGCTCTCCGACGGCCCCAGACGGCCCATGAGGTCCCCAACATCGCCCCAACAGCACCCAAGAGGCCTCCAAGATGGCCCCATGACGGCCCAAGAGGCCCCCAAGAAGGCCCCAAGAGGGCCTCAAGACGGCCCAAGAGGCCTCCAAGACGCCCAAGATGGCCTCCAAGACGGCCAAGATGGCCCAAGATGGCCTCCAAGATGCCTCCAAGACGGCCAAGATGGCCTCCAAGACGGGTAAGATGGCTCCAAGATGCACCCAAGACGGCCCAAGATGGCCTCAAGATGGTCTAAGACGGCCCAAAAGGCCGGCAAAAGGCCTCCAAGACGGCCCAAGAGCCCTCCAAGACGCCCTCCAGGAAGGCCCGAATAGGTTAAAATCATTGATTTTCCTTAGGTTTTTGAAGGATTTTGGCATGTTCTTCTTTTCAGCTCTCCGACGGCCCAGACGGCCCAAGAGGTCCCCAACATCGCCCCAACAGCACCCAAGAGGCCTCCAAGATGGCCCCATGACGGCCCAAGAGGCCCCCAAGAAGGCCCCAAGAGGGCCTCAAGACGGCCCAAGAGGCCTCCAAGACGCCCAAGATGGCCTCCAAGACGGCCAAGATGGCCCAAGATGGCCTCCAAGATGCCTCCAAGACGGCCAAGATGGCCTCCAAGACGGGTAAGATGGCTCCAAGATGCACCCAAGACGGTCCAAGATGGCCTCAAGATGGTCTAAGACGGCCCAAAAGGCCGGCAAAAGGCCTCCAAGACGGCCCAAGAGCCCTCCAAGACGCCCTCCAGGAAGGCCCGAATAGGTTAAAATCATTGATTTTCCTTAGGTTTTTGAAGGATTTTGGCATGTTCTTCTTTTCAGCTCTCCGACGGCCCCAGACGGCCCAAGAGGTCCCCAACATCGCCCCAACAGCACCCAAGAGGCCTCCAAGATGGCCCCATGACGGCCCAAGAGGCCCCCAAGAAGGCCCCAAGAGGGCCTCAAGACGGCCCAAGAGGCCTCCAAGACGCCCAAGATGGCCTCCAAGACGGCCAAGATGGCCCAAGATGGCCTCCAAGATGCCTCCAAGACGGCCAAATGGCCTCCAAGACGGGTAAGATGGCTCCAAGATGCACCCAAGACGGCCCAAGATGGCCTCAAGATGGTCTAAGACGGCCCAAAAGGCCGGCAAAAGGCCTCCAAGACGGCCCAAGAGCCCTCCAAGACGCCCTCCAGGAAGGCCCGAATAGGTTAAAATCATTGATTTTCCTTAGGTTTTTGAAGGATTTTGGCATGTTCTTCTTTTCAGCTCTCCGACGGCCCCAGACGGCCCATGAGGTCCCCAACATCGCCCCAACAGCACCCAAGAGGCCTCCAAGATGGCCCCATGACGGCCCAAGAGAGCCCCCAAGAAGGCCCCAAGAGGGCCTCAAGACGGCCCAAGAGGCCTCCAAGACGCCCAAGATGGCCTCCAAGACGGCCAAGATGGCCCAAGATGGCCTCCAAGATGCCTCCAAGACGGCCAAGATGGCCTCCAAGACGGGTAAGATGGCTCCAAGATGCACCCAAGACGGTCCAAGATGGCCTCAAGATGGTCTAAGACGGCCCAAAAGGCCCGCAAAAGGCCTCCAAGACGGCCCAAGAGCCCTCCAAGA